TAGGGCGCCAACAGACGTAAATAATCAAATCAAATCAAATCAAATCATCGCAGCGTACCACGGCGTAGCCCTTACCACACCAAAAGACAGGATCCGGAGTCTCCCAGGCCGAGTAACGGGATTTCTGGGCTGGATTGAGCTCTGCAAAGGAAGCCGGATGGAACTTGCTGTAGGGTATGTCCTTGCCATAAGGCCCATAGGTCATGATGACGGGACATGGCGAGGCCGATGTCTGGGCCTGCAATGGCCGGTAAACGTTGCAGCGGATTGGATTGAGCGGGTCCGTCGTTGGAATAGAGACATTTTTCTCGACAAAAATGGCATTTTCTTCGTCCACCCAGCTGACGCAGATGTCTTTGATCTTATTAGGCATTGTTGGCTGAAGCGGGGATGGACTAAGAGAAAGTTGGGTCTGAAGTATCGAAATACGCGGGTGGTGTGCTATTAGAGTAAAAAGGCTGCATCTTCATGCTCGAAACTCGAGTACATTATATCTGTGATCAATTCCTCGAATCAGTTCAAGGCAAACTGTCCCGGCCACCTACGGTAGGCGCTGGGACGGAGATTCCGTGGCGTCTCCATATGCCCAGCTGGTTACCCCATCTAATCCGCGGCTCCATCGGCGGTCGTCAACTGCCGTGGAGAAGACTACTCCGGGAACTCCGGGGAACCTGGGCGAGCAATGTCCGTCGTGCATAATTGAGCCGTAAGCATGCGAACCCTGCTGCGCGACGGAAAGCCCCCGGTGATCTCACAGTCCGACATCAACTGTTCGCATGGCGGATTCTGACGCCGGACCGCCCGAGAGCACGAGCTCCAGACGTTCCCGCAACGTTGCCCGATTCGTACCTTACGATAGGCAGCCGACTTCCTTGGATGTTCCCGAGGCGTATACTGTCCCCAAAGAAGCATTTTTGAATCAATTCAAAGAAGCTCTAGCTCAAAGTGACGATGCGCGAGATTGCGAGACGCTGTTGACCGATGCGCGCTGGCAGTCATGGCGTGATAGCCATCAAGAAGTGGTACGTCAAAAAAACACAAACAGGAAACAAGGGAAAAGGAAATCGCTAATTGTGGTCAGGCAATGTCCCATGGGTCAGTCCCATCACCTACCTGGCCAACGTCCGTTGCCGTGGATGCTCCAGACTGTGACTTGGACTTTTCGAGCCACATGCCGCCATGGCGGTCGGTGTTTTCTGCTGTCTTTGGCTCGCACATGTACATCCCTGGCTTCCAATTAGACGAAAATTTTCGTGACGGGGCGTTCCCGCCTCCATATTTGGACTTTGCGCTGGCATGCTTGGCCAGCGCAGTGTCGCCCAATTCGCGTCACGAATTCGACGGCGTAGCGCTGCCCAGTACGACATACTTTGACATGGGAATCAGATTATACATCTTGACACTGGAGACCGACAATCGAGAAGCCCGCACTATAGAATCCGTCATTGCAGTATGCCATCCTTGGACATTCCATTCGCCTCGGAACTCTGGCTGATACATTAGTTGTGATAGAGTGCCTTGATAGCCACGCACGGGTTGCTGAGTGCAGATTCAAGGGCATGGTTCAAAAGCTCTGCGATGCTCATGTACAGCATGACTGTGAGTAGTCCCTCTGGAATAACATCAGCTACTTCGCAGCCAGCCAGTTGCAGGCAGCGGAAACAGATCACCATTAACGAATACAAATACGCAACACAGATTGCTCGGAGGTTGGACATTTTTAATTGCGCGTCTACTGGCGGTTCGCTGGAGCCAGCTGTCAAGTACGTCACTCTACTCGCGATCGCTTTTACGCTGTATCCTCAGACAAAACTAACACGGTTTAGACGGCACAACATGATTGCCAGCTACAAATACCTTGTTGACGTGCTACTTGCCGTCCACATTGGAACTGTTCCCGTACTGTCAACGTCGGAGCTGAATTTTCGGTTGCCCGTCTCCGGACACTTGTTCCCGACCGTCTATGGAAACCTCGTACACACTGGGCCGATGCCAAGTGACATGCAGGCACCCGATGACGCCGTTTTGCTTCTTAGTGCCATTCTCTCCGATCTGCTTTTCATACAACGAAGCGCATGTCCTATTGGATTGGCCCCCAGTTCTCACAGCCAAGGAGGACAGGCGGGTACTGCTTGGATGGGTGACCGCCCATATCAAACACTTTCCCTGTCTGCCGAGGTTGACAGGCAGCACACTGCCATCAAGCGGGCCCTTCGCCGGTGGCTGCGACATTTCGAAGACTCGATGCCCCGGAATGTGCTTGCGCTTTACTACTTCTGCCAGCTTTGCCTCGCATGTCCTGGACTCCCGCAGCTGTCAATGGACGCTGGTTACCCGCCAGCGGTGCACAGTCAGACAACCTCCGTCGCGCATACAAATCAAAGTCTAGCCAATGACGAGACTTCATTGTCAGAGGAGTCGATGGAGCTTGCATGGCTTGTCTTGGATAACATCACCACGTCAAGGTCTGACGACGATACTGAATGCACTCCAATTTGGAGCCCGATCGTTGTATTTTTTTCCGCTCTTGTAGTGTGGCGCTGTGTCACAAGACGGCCATCGGGAGTTGGAGCACAGCGAGGCACGGTAAAAATGCTGGCATTGTTTTCAAACGAATTAGACCAGCTACCTTGGCCATGCTGTTCCGTCATGTCGCAAACGCTGGAAAACCTGATGGCTCGAGGTCACTAGCCTTGACTGCGGTGTCCAAACCGTGGTGGTACTGACACATCGCAGGCGAGAAAGTGCGTCTCCAATAGTGTATTACATATATTGGAATTCAGCGTATTTCACTACTTGCCCTCTTGGCGACGAAAGTCCTTTCCCGGAACCAAATCTAAACCCCCATAATCTTCCTCCAATGCCTGTCCGTCCAGTTCCAGCGCGTTCCCTTCCTGCAGAATGAAGACCATTCTTGACCAAGTATTCCCATGTGGCGTGCGCCAGGCATGCATGGTTCCGCGCTGCACAGCAATATCACCGGGCTCGAGCAACTTTGTCTCTCCCGAGTCCAGCACCAATTCCACTTGTCCCGCGATGACAATTCCGTAGTCGAGGCTCAGCGTTCGGTGCATCGGCGTGACCGACCCTGGCGCGAAGTTGCAGACGCGCAGCACCGTTCCTCCCGGTATGGAGATGGGAGGCTGTGGACCTGCGAAAAGCCCCTTGTACTTGGCAATGTCGAAGTCGTCATTCATCTCGGCCGGGAAAGTAGTGTTGGCGTACGCGAGAAAGAAGTCCAATTTCGGGTTCACGCGTTCGTACACAGCGGTCGGGTCAATCTCATTCGCAAACACACTGCGGCCGGTGGCATCATGCGTAGTTATGTAGCGCTTCTGCGTTGGTAGACCTGTAGGACTAGGGAAGTCTGGAAGATTCTCCATGGTCAATGAAATGTATGCTGAAGCAAGCTCAAAGAGTTGTTGATTTGATCCTGGTGCCTTGGGTGGACGAGTTTCTAGGCTGGCCAATGGCTTTTATCAGCGGATTTGTGAGCTTGAAAGCAGACGAGCACGACATGAGTAATACGATACACTTTCTTTTAGAGGAGCACGAAAGCCAAGCCGGTTTTTAGACTTCACCTGGGGTAACTGTTGATACCCCATCGGGCCGCGGCCCCGTCAATTTGATCCCACGCAACTGGACGCTGTAGGCATCTCCACGGGATGGTGTCAAACCGCCTTGGATTTTCCACTACTGGATGCCGAATGCATAAAAAGTAGCCAAGCTCTGTTCAAGCTACTGCACTCGCAAGTCATTTCACGGCCTCAAGACTAGCTGGTTAAAAAAAAAAACCACATCATTTTACAGCCATACATTGCAACGATCACGCACTATGACAGCAAATACCCGTGCCATTCTCAACCGCCTTTCGTATGTAATATACGAACATCCTGACTTGGAGAAGTTTAGAGATTTTGCCGGAGATTTTGGCTTCATAGAAGCTGGGCGAGTGGACGGTCTCACGTTCTACCGCGGGTACGGCAAGGATGCATACGTCTATGTCGTCGCAGAAGGGCAACCGGGCGCCGAGAAACGGTTTATAGGTGGTGGCTTTGTGGCCCAATCTGCGCAGGACTTCCAATTGATTTGCCAGATGCCGGGCGCGAAGATACTGGATGCAACAAAGCGGCCGGGAGGTGGTCAACTGGTAGAGGTGCTCGATCCTAACGGGTATGTCGTCCAGGTCGCTTGGGGCCAGGTTGAGCGCGAGGTGCCTGCCCACGGAATCTCATCGTGCGAAGGCGGGCAGCCCCCAATGAACGGTGCGCTTGACAAGATTCGAAAAGGTAAGCCACGATTTGGCTATGCGAATGAGCCGTGTCATAGAGTGTGCTGACAGTAGAGAAGGCCAGTTCACGCGCATGAGCAGCGGCCCGGGGTTGGTCCACAAACTGGGTCATTTCGGCTACACGACGGACAACTATGACGAGACGCGCCGATGGTATCAAGACCATTTCAACTTTACGCCCACCGACGTGCTCCATGCTCCTGCCGACCAGGCTCTGGAGGTAGCAGCCTTCATGCGCGTGGCCCGAGGCAAAACATTCGTTGACCACCACTCCTTCCTTATTGTCAGGGGTGAAGGCAAAGGAACAAAGGTCCACCACTCCTCTTTCGAGGTGGAGGACGTTGACACGCAGATGATGGCTCACCAATGGCTGGGACAGGCAGGCTGGACCTTGGTCTGGGGCGTTGGCCGACATGTCCACGGCTCTCAGATTTTCGACTACTGGTACGACAGCAGCGGGTTCATTATCGAGCACTATGCCGACGGAGACCTCGTCAATGAAGACACCGAAATGACCTCTGCCCCTGCAGGTGTCATGGCCGTATGGGGTCCCCCCGTACCAGCCGTTTGGGGCGGAAAGGCCAGCACTTAGTGCGCGCGATTACATGTATGGTTATGGCTAGATTCTCAATGTCCGAATTTAAATGGAATTTGAAATATGACATCGTCGGCCTGATTTCAACCCGTTGGCGTGCAAGTTGTAGAGCATCGCCACTCATGTTGTTGTTTGGTGACGATCGGACAGGCCTCAGGCCTTCTGGGTGACTAGCTGCACTAGGGAGGGTTACATCTTGAGGTGTATGCCTGTCTAATAGAGTCATTATTTCGCAATGTTTAAATTCGGAACAGTTACTACTACTGTAGCTCACAGCAAAGTAAGCCACTTTATACCTCAAATTCAGTCGATCATAGTCAGGCGATAATGATGATGACGAGAAATCCGATACTACATTTCTTCATAGTACACATTATCGAATACTGTACCATGACTTCATATCCTGGGTATGTTTTCCTCGGCTGTATTATTGTGTTGTGTATGCATTATTATTGGTTGGTATCCTTACAAACCGCAGGCCCTCCACAGTCAACGGAAAGCTATGCTTCCGCTGGTCAGTAACCGGAAACACCGGAGGAAGAATGAAGCTGGAGGGCGTTGGAAAATTCGCTGGGAACATTGATAGGCTCGCACTGGCATCGCCCCAGCGCCCACTTACCCCGCCACAATATCTATTTCCAGCGGTCCAGCTGGAGACGCAATTTACTCTCTCACCACGCTAATTCATTGCCAACTCATAGCAATGCTTCCCGTTTCTTATTCAGATAATCGAAAAGATAAAGAAGTGAGTATAGTAATATACTGTATACTCGTTGAAGATGTTGGAACCCAGCTGAACGATTCACAGTGTTACATATGTCATCGCCTGTTTGTCCGATCGGAGCATCTGAGTCGGCATCTGAGAACACGTGCGAAATCCTCCCGTCAGCTTGTTTTGCATGCTCGACTGTAATCTTGCGGCTAATAAACTACTTTATAGACACCAACGAGAAGCCCTTTTCATGTCCCAGCTGTAATCAGTCATTTCGACGGCTGGACGTAAGGAACCTGCATATCCGGCGTTGTCATGGGAATGAATCCGGCATGTTGGCGTCGTCAGGTGCGGAAAATGGCAGAAGACGCACCCGAGTTGCCTGCACGGCCTGTCGTCGGCGGAAGACACGCTGCACCGGCGGGCAGCCGTGCTCTCAATGTGCTGAGATGAACGACGCTTGCACGTATCGAGCCGGCATTTTGTCCGCTGCTACAGTAAATGGCGAGATACAGCAGGGACCCAGCGCATCGCTGGCTTCTTCTACCCCTTTCCAGTGGCTGGACGATGTTTGGGCTGAACCTGCCATACGGCCTCCGAGTCCTCCCACCACGGCTTCTGGGGACCAGTACCCCTTGCCGCGGAGCTACAATGAATACGGCCCCGGCCGTACGAGGCCGGTAGCCAGAATGGAGCAATCGAATGAGCCACCGGAAGCGGTGAACAGTGCGGTTCTTTCGTCCGAACTTCCACAAAGTATCGCATGTGGACCAGCCGCACGTACGATCTCTACTGCCAGCTGCCTTGATGATGCATGGATATTGCCTGATTTTCCTGTGAGAGCCTTGACCTCCCACATGCCCTCAGAAAAACATAATGACCTCTCGCTATAGGAACCACTGGTGTGGCTGGATGGTCTGGATAGCATGGACGAAGTTTGGGACAGCTTCCCGTACACAACAACGCCCACGAATGGCACCTCTTCAGAGCTGTCGCCTGATGCGTTCACTGCATCTCCCATCACCGCGTTAGTCAGACGGTACTTTCTTCGCAAGGCGCAGGTTTCTTCGCTGGCGCTCGACCGACCTGACTGCATGTGGTATTCTAAAATGCCCATGTCGGCTGTCCCAGACGCATATGTCATAAACGTCTTCCTGAACCTTTTTCGCAGGCACATCTTGCCGACATTCTCTCTGTTCAGTGATATGAATCTGTCGGACTCATCAGCCTCTTCATGTTGCATGGCAATGGCTGCTGTTGGTGGCTTATTCTGCTCCGTCCGAGGGAGCTATGACGTGGCAAGGGCGTTGTATAACGATTCGCGCAGAATGCTACTTGCCAAGGTCAGCAGTCTGGCAGCAGTGTGTGGCGTTCCACGTGTGTTCTGACGGCTCTTGTCCAGGTGAACTGCACAATCGACGAACAGAATTTTGATGCAACGGCGGACCATGCTCATGCGCTACTAGTGGCCAAAACAGTAGGAAACTGGGCGCACCCAAACGCTTGCTTCGTCTGACTTGAAAATGCAGTTTATTCTCTTGGAGATCTATGGGCTTTGCAGTGGCGACAGACGCAGCTACGAGTTCTCGGAATCCATGCGCAGCGATTTGATGTGGGTATGTTACGGCACCCGCGAGATGAGAAAGACATTGTTTGCGATCTACTGCTAATATTTCACCTTCAGGCGGTGCGGCGATACGCACGACAGAGTCAGCGTACAAACGGTGACGGGCAGGTACAAAACATGCGGTATATTGCAGCCTCTGAACGTTTCGTGACTGAACAATACATACTGACTCGTCGCAGGCTTCTAGAGTGCTTGTATGTGCTCAACTTATACCGCGTAATTCTCATGCGACGACCCGTTACTCTTACGGAACATGACTTGGCGGTGTTGTGCAGTAGTGAGAGAGGGCCAGAGAGTGAGCTGACCGAGATGTCATCCTTCTTAAGTATCGCGGAGGGCCTCGCCACCCCAGGGCAGCTTATAGACCGAAAGGCTCTTCAACTTCACAGCATCCCAAGCCTCGGTGGCTTGAGTACCTACCTCTGGCCAGCGACGCGCAGCTGGTCCAACGAGAGAGCGAATAGTGACGAAGAGCGGCCTCACAATCCTCTGTGGAAGGCAGAATTTGTCGCTCTGGCCTGTGACAAGTGGTGGAATTCTCAACAGCCAAATTCGGACGCATCCGTGACCATTCTGTACCATTGCGTGAAGCTCCTCATTCACGCGGACATTGAGCTGCTGGTGGGATATTTCAGGCATTCCCTAGGGAAGGAGCAGCACTCCCGCTTCCAGCTGCAGGAGTTCCCGTCAGTTCGAGCATGGCTTGATAGCCACAATGCGGCTATTGCCACTTGGCATGCCGACTCCCTACTTTCCGCGGCTGAAGGGTTTCGCTGCCAGGAGAGGAGTACCAACGACGACATGTCACCTGGGGTAGGCGACGGGCGGACCGAGCCGGAGGTGGATCCTGAGTCTCCTCATATACCATATGCTATTTACTATGCGACGTTGGTGCTTTGGGCTCGTCAAGTGACCCGACGCGACAACGACGCGGGATTGACGGGCATCGCGCAGCTAGCCCAGGGCCAGCGGCTCCTTCGAAGGTGTACGTCGCGCATCGCAGGCTTAGTAGAGCAGGTTCTGGGACTATAGGACTGGACACGCAGTATAAAGGACAAACATAGCCGCAATTTGCCTGTATTGTACGGACTGACGTGTATGCTGAGCTTCGTGACATAGCCACTTCTGCAGTAGTACACGGTGCCTGCACTCATCCGTGCATTGGGGCCGTCAGGCTTCTGGATCGTCGGTGCCGATAGGCAATACGAAAAACACCGGAAATGATGTCATATTCGGTGAACCGGAATTGTTCTTTTCGGTGAGTACACAGATCGTTGAGCCGGATAATGATGGGGTAAGTCGGCGTTAGCACAACCCCACCAGTTCCGGATGCTCCCTTACACCCGGATTACCCTACCCCATGGTAATGTTTGGGCAGTACCCTGGCGATGGAGTATTGAAAGATAGAATAGATCCGAGGCTACCGTGTGGAGGCTCGCTGGTAGATGCGGTATACATTTAAGGCACTGCAGTCGCCCTGGTTGGACAACAGCAGTAAGTCATATTTCCTTCGTGCCTCACACATATTCACAGCATATGCAAGTCATGTCCAGCCACGCAACCGCTGGCAGCGACGCCAAAAGCCAGCCTCTACACTTCCTTGTCATTGGTGCTGGTCTCGGAGGGCTAACCGCCGCTATTGCATTGAGAAGGGCCGGGCAACGTGTTACGGTAACACCCGTCATCTGCAGGACCGGTCAAAGCACGAATGGCAGCTAATTGCTTATGTCGAGAGCAGGTTTTTGAGCAGTCTCGACTTGCGAGCGAATATGGGGCTGCTATCAATGTGCCACCTAATGCGAATGGCATTTTACTTCACCTTGGAGTCGATGTTGCTGCTGCTGGAGCGGTGGAGCTGAAAATGGCAAGTCTCGATGAATGAAAATGAGACGCGCAACAAACATAGCTGACTTGGTGAGGTATTAGGCCACAGGATATGACAAAGATGGCCAACGTGTTGGAGAAACTGATTATGCGGCTCTCGCCAAGGGTTGGCAGCACGTAAAGTCAATCCAATGATATCAAAGGGAACCTGTGCTGACCACCCGCGATTTCATCTTAGAGGTACATGTTGGCGCATCGCGTCGACTTACACACGCAGCTTAAAACCACAGCAACCTCCCCCAGTGGCGCTGGGCGCCCAGCGGAACTGAGAGTAGCCTCACGCGTCGCTGACTTGGACCCTCAACAAGCTACAATCACTCTTGCTGATGGAACAGTGGTCGCAGGCGATGTGATAGTTGGTGCGGACGGGATTCATGTAAGAACCCTGACAGTTCCAATGGTGTCGTGCGCAACTAACGTTCTGTCCCTAGTCCACGACGCGGGGAAAACTGACATCTGTCCGGCCTGAACCCTCCGGCAAGAGCGCCTTTCGTTTCTTACTCAACCGTGCAGACGTTATACAGCACCCGAAAATCGACCCTGCGATGATTAAAGACGGGGAGCTTATTTTCTGGTTCCATGCGGACAGGTGAGAGGATATTCTCAGCATGGCAAAACGCCAAGTACCGGGCTAATAATGTACTTCAAAGGCGAATTGTCGTGTACCCGACAAGAAACAATGACATTTGGAACTTTGTATGCATCCATCCCGATCGCAGCTGGGAAAATGACGACAGCAGTTGGAACCGCACCGGCTCCCAAGAGGATCTTCTTCGAGAATACGAGGGATTCGACGAGCGCGCTTTGACACTATTGCGAATGGCAGACCCGTCGATGCTCAAGGTGTGGCGGCTCATGGACATGGACACTGTCGAGGACTGGTGCAGCGGCAGATTCTGTCTACTTGGCGACGCTGCCCACCCCTTCCTCCCGCACCAAGGCCAAGGGGCGGCACAAGCAATGGAGGATGCGGCGTCGCTTGGCGTCGTCTTCCCGGCCGGTACTCCCGCGTCCGAGGTGCCGGCACGACTGAAGCTGTATCAGCAGTGCCGCAAGGTGAGAGCGGTGACGGTTCAGGAGTTGACGCGGCAGGCCGGCGCGGACATTCGCGGCTCCGAGGCGGCCAAGAAGTTAGACCACATGCGAGAGCTCATCCAGCGCAACTGCGGCTACGACGAGCACCACAATTCAATCCACCAGCTGCGCATCTGGGAAGACAGCAACAGACCAAAGCGTTGGCGCATGCCTCTGTCGTTCGGGCCCGCGTCCGGTCCACGCCAGTCTCTCGGCCCTCGCCGCTGGTCCAGCATGGGATCGAGTTTCACTTCGCGCACAATAAGATTCAAGACCTCACGCACGTTGCTCCGGAATCTGCTCCCAAGCACCTCCTTCTTCTTTCTGTCGCCGGATAGCGTCGCGTACGCATCGTATGTCCACACCTCGTTGCGGAACCTGGACTGGCTTGGCGGCAGGGGCTACGACTACATTGCATTGCTGCTGCACGGTGTCGCGTACCGGAAGAAGGACGGCTCTACTGTCCCGGGGTCCTTTGTGAGCGTCATGTGGGAGAATTTGACGGACCCTATCCTTACCGGACGAGAAGAACTGGGCTGTCCCAAGCTATTTTGCGACATCAGAACGGAGCACAATGCCAACAACTGCCTGACCGAGGCGAGCTGGGCAGGAGGAGCGCCATTTCTCAAGATGCAGATGGAGGGCATAAGAGAGACCAACATCGCCGAAGCGGCCGATGACGGTGCGCTGTTGTTTTACAAGTACATTCCCGCCACGGGAAGGCCCGGTGTTGCAGACGTCGAGTACCCTGTCTGCGCCCCAACCCGAATTTGCCAGACCGTCAACCATGTCCAGACAGCGCAGACGGCAAACATCATACTTGATCCGCTCGATGAAGAAACACTACCCACCCTACATCATATTGTGGATAGGTTGGCGGAAATCCCCTTCTTTGAAGTGGCTGAGGCAACTGTTGCCGAGGGTGTCGTTGTGAATGACATGTCGACAGCCTATAGAATAGAGTAGCTAAGCTGCTATTATCACGAGGCTGTTATTCAATAGTGTTGATGGTATAGTTCTAACTATATTGGCTTTCTATAAGTCTGCAATCTTATGATAACTAGCTTGCATTTTGCATTACATGGATGAAGATCGTCGCTAAGCTCACAGGTGAGCCATCACTGTCCAAAAAAATGGGTTGTATTGGCCGACCCATGATGAAATGTGCGCAATACGCCAAAAGAAGCAACAGGAGCTACGACCTGAAGCAACAATGCTCACCTGCGGGGAAGGTACACTGGAAATAATTACCAAGTTGGTCGTGCAGTGCGCCCACGCGATTTCCCATCTCATCATTCTGCGTCCAAGTTTTTAATTATCCGTGATGCCCCAGATCCATGGTTCTTCCTGTTCCTTGGGATTTGGCTGTGTTTCAATCTGTGCGTATGATTTCGGTCAGCCTCTTACACAATGAACTTGGATGATGGCTATCGCTTGAGGTGCCTACCGGGTCGCTTGGACTGGATGCTTGCGGGACGGGAGCAGGCTTGCATCGGAAATCATTGAAATTCAGCTCCTCACAGATGACCTCGTCACAGATATCAAGAGATCCGACCCATTCAAGAGGGGCATCGGGCTTCGACCGCGACTTGTTCCACAGCGCCACCGGCTGCCCCGGCCGGGTCTGGCTTCGCAGCACACGAGAGGCGGAAGCTGTCTGTCGCATTCCGTTCGCAGGCGAGGCCATGTGCGAAGGACTTGGGACCGTCCCACTTGACCTGGCAACCGGCCCAGAGCTCGGATGACGCAGGTAGCCGTGCGCCCTCATTCGCTGGCCCTGGAGATTGGTGAAGCTGTCGCTGGAAGGGCTAGATAAGAGAATTAGCAAGCCTGGTAGACATCGGCGCGGGTGTCGTGGGTGGTGTAGATGGCCAACTCACAAGTAATCCAAGAAATTACGGCCGCCAGGCACCACATTGGAGGACCTCACCCCTGTTATCCTCTCTCCTATCCTCAATGGGAATGCTGCTTGTCACATTCTGTTGCGGCCAGGTATAATCACTGTAATCCCCGTTATCACAGCCCAGGTCCCAAGGGTGATACAGGCCCAGCCAATGACCATCTTCGTGAGTCATGATTTTACCTCTACGAAACCCGGAGTGGTGGCACGCAGGGTGCATGCGTCAGTGGGAACCACATCCTCTCACGATAGCTCGCCGTTGACGCCCCGGGAATAGAAGCTACCCAAAAAAGATTCAGGTCCGCGTACTGGCCCGTTCGCATGGGCCTTGTCAAGGTATTGGACATTGTCGTGCAGTTTCTCACGGTGGCCAAGGTCTCGTTCTGGGTATAGCTCGTGTTGACATGGGTGAATGACAATCCAAACCTCCCAAAGTCCCGGTTCAGGATTTCGACTGCGGATACAACCTCCCCTTCCTGCCCGGAGTTAGCCTGGCACACGCTGTGATGATGGCAACATTGCGTAGCGCCGAGTCAACGTATCGATAGATAACCTCCCTCGACAGTCTTGTTCTCGTAGATCACGTGCCCGAAAACTCGAAAGTTGATATTGATATCAGGGAACTGCTGCGCTTGGCGACTCTCTAGAGACGGCGGAACACTGGTGTTATTTGCAGGTCCAGAATCGTAAAAGGGCGCCGTGTCAGAAGACTCGAGCTCGAGGTCTCCTTGACACAAGGCCTGTGTACCATCTTCAAGAATTGGGTCGGCAGTGGTTGTTGAAGTAACCTGTGCCACCGAAAGGGGAAGCAGAAGAGCCAGAACTCCTGTCATGATAGAAATCAGCTGGAACAGCGTCGCGGACGAGGGGAAAAGTAGAAATCTATGGCGAGAGAAGTAAGTTGCAAGTGAGCTCTTTGGCAATGGTGTGTCGGCTGTGAGGGGTTTTTATCTTCTCATTTCAATACATTTGAAGACTTTTCGTATACTGGAATGGTGGAACCTTCCGTTTTGCAATACGGGGAGCAGACTGGGTAACATTTTCGTGTAAGTAGAATCGAGATGGCTGTGGGTAGGCCTCTCTGGCAAAGCATTCGAGCTGGAGCATTCTAGTTATACCTCGCCGTGACAATCCATGGACAATGTTCGCCACTATTGGCTGTTTGGTGTAGTAATACGGTGGATATAATGCAACCAGACTGCAGCTGCGCGATGCAGTCTCGCGGTGTAGGTGCTCCCCCGCGCTCTTTCACCCGACGGGAACTAAGGTACTCCAGCGTCGTTTCCATAGCACATTAGACTGCGATTCATCTCCTAGCGAAGCATTCGCTGAGTCGACTGGCTATCTGCTGGCCTTGGGCTTTCTGTACAACGCTATGGACACACTCCGGAGAATATGGTGTCTAGATTACGACAAACGCAGCGGAAGGAGCTGCATCCATGTTCTGAAAGACTATTGAGCTTATGGCTATTGAAGATCGCTGAACTAAAGAAAGCGTGTTGAGAGGAAGGAATGCGGTAGATGACTAAATCCGGCGCATCACCGAAGATCCCCTACGCCCCTGCAATAACTACCAATAGTGGCCAAAGGCCTCTAAATACCATCTTCTGACCCAAAAGACACGCTAGCAGGGGATTTCCGCCAGCCATCGAGATATTTGTCTCTGGTGTGGCCTTTTGAAGAGGATTTAGGACTCCGGCGTAACAGAAGGGGTAGAACCGAGGGCAACAGAAGACGTAGAGTCGGGTTCGGAATCGGACTGGGAGGTGGCATCAGACTCCGAGGCGGACTCCCTTTCCCGAGCCTCCTCAAGAGCTAGACGGTTCTCCTCGAGCTTGGACTTCGTCTCCTCGGGGAGACCGTCTCTAGTAGCCTCGAACTCCCTAACAGCATCGTCCTGCTTCTGTTTGATTTCCTGGGGAATCGAGTTATCAGACGCCAAAAAGGCGGCTTCGAGCTCCTTCATGGCCCGCTTTTCAGCTTCCTTGTGCTGATCAGAGATAGCATCCTCAGCGGCCTGAATGGCAGTTTTCATTTTCTCCCAGGCCTGGTCAAGCTCAGGCGAGATGACTCTTCTGTCTTCTTCCAGCTTCTTGATCGCAGCGCTGCTCGGTTTCTCATCCTTGCGCGTATGTAAGCCCATTACCGCCGAGCCTTGGCTGGGAATTCTGGCCCTGGCGAGGACGTCGACTCCACGGCGGTCATTCTGAGTAGTCGCCCCAAGGGCAGACAAAGTCACTAATTTAAGATGTCAGCAAAATAATAACAAAGGTGTGAAAAAACTGATATAAAAACGTACAACTAAGAACCAAGGTATGAATGCGAACCATTATAAATGACAATAGGTGACTTTGATTTAAGAGTAGAATTGCTGATTGATCACTATATGAGATCCAGAGTATTGACAGTTGTATAATATAAACTCGCTCAGCGGAATAGTAAGGGTATTTATATTCAATAGTAGTAAACGGTAGCTTACGATAACATTGAGTCTATGTGACCCTGAGAGTATTCCTTGCAGCGTTTTGTCTTGTGCCCGCGCTTTTTAGACGAACAATGGGTCGTCTCGTATAGTTCACGCAAGCTGAATCGCAGGAGACGAGCAATCTACCTTGCTAAGTTCTCGAGTTCTTGGAGCGCCGAGCTTTCATGCTTGGGAAATTTGAACCGAATCAAGGTCGATATGTCAACGTGTCCCGCGATGTTACCCGATATTAAGCTTCACAATTAACAGATGGCGACATTTGGCCAATGCGGCAACGTTGATTATGCTGTTCCTGCTGCATCTGACTCGCGCTAATCTACACCTATGCTTACAAATATCAACAGTATGTATCTTTTAACAAAAGAAAGTGTAATATCCGTTCGCTTGATAAAAAAAGTATAGTTGCCTGAAATATTCAATGTGCTAGAAAGCGTCCAAATGTGAAAGGGGGTAACTTATGCATTAGCCGCGGTTCATGCCGCGGCTCAAAGATGATGCAACAGCTTGCTTTCGGCATTCAAGTTGCGTGCTTGAGTTTTTCTAGTGCAGGCACAATTTTGCGATAAAACTTAGGACGGGTTAATCGGAGATTTGAGCCAATAAAGCGGCGGAGTAAGGTTCACCGGTGTGGCCGAACTGTGGCTAAGGCAGTTCAAGCGTAATGAAGAAAGCCATGCCGTAGTAGGGTTTAATCTTATGATGTGCTTGTTCAAGCATATAATGTGGGATGAGCCTGTGTAGTTCTGACTCGTCATTTTCATACATGACTTCGGTCATCCCGCCGATATGTGACGAGATGTTAGTATCTATCTGGCTTATAGTTATAGGTAAAGACGAATGTAATAGATAAATAGACCCTAATTATCTGCTATTTATAAAGTCATGTTAATAGCCTGATGTAAAGTTACTCTATCTAGCACGCATTTTACCAATAGACAAGCCAAGTCTCCGATTCATCAGCATACTGCTGCATCGCCAAGATGAAGATTACGACAATCTGTCTTGCCTTGGTCGGGCTCACCAGCGTCAACGCAGCACTAGTTGGCCGACAAATTAAACCTGTGCCACCGTCGGATGGACCAGGGACCCAGATGCTCGACGCAGCGCGTCGCGGCATAGAACGATGGGGGCTGAACGGCGACTTGCAGCCTCCCACCAGTCCTAAACCCCCTCTGCGAGAGATGCCCTTTGGTCTAGGTGTTCCTAAGCCCGGTTCCAAGTATGACCCAGACAAGAAGACCGGAGTGACACGAGTGCCGGGCGAGCCGCTTGGACCGGCGAAGAAGTGCAGGCCATGCAAGAGGAAGAGGCAACTAGACTGTTGTCCCAGCCTGGGCAAGCCTACAAAACCGTCCAAGCCGTCCAAGCCGTCCAAGCCGTCCAAACCGTCCGCGAGCAAACCTTCGTTTCCCAGGGGCAAAACACTCCGGGTGACCCGTGCGTCTGCGAAGGTGGCTGCTATTAGTGTATTGGCGCCGTATGCGCGCGATGTTTATGAAGACATCAAGACGTGGCCGGTACTCGGATATCTTCTACAAGGGTTCGACGATGCGGTGGAATCCCTTCAGGTCGCTATTGGAGGTCCGGGGCGGGACGACATTGACGGAAATGACCTAAAAGCTAGCTTTATTTGCTGGTTAAAAGGAGGAGAGGCCGAAGAGACTATTGCTGGAAGGCCGAACAATATATGCACCCCCTGGGATAAGAGATTCGATAAGGATTTTGAGGAATTGCTGAAGAAAGGCGAGCTTGATAAGGACGTGAAGTTGTGTCAAGGGTACGAGACGCATCACAATCCTTACAAGTCGGTTGAGGACTGGTTCAAAGACAGGTGCAAGGCGCTGTTTGCTTCCAGCGCATATTCGAAGTGGACGTTGGAGAAATGGAGCAATGGACTTAACAAGGCACTGGAGTTTTGTTATAGTGTTCACGACAAGGAGCCGGCCGAGGACGATTTACGGCACAAGATAGAAAAGGACTGCACCGCGTTCCAAGCCAAGGTCGACGAGATTGAGGGCCAGGCGGCGAAAAAAACCGTCAAGAAACCGGCCGTGGGCGTGGGGCTCCCAACTCTCAAGAATAATGGCTGCACTGTAAGTTGATGTCCAAGAACCGGCTCGAGACATTCTTCATACTAACTGGAGGCAACTGCAGTGCAATGCCAGCAAGCTGCAGCCGTTCGACACCCGCTGCGGGAGGTACTGTCGGCTCGTGTACAAGCTCGGCTACGGTGTCCTTGTCTGAGGGTGGCTCGGCATGTGTTCCCTTGGCTGCCTGAAAGGGTCAAGGCCAGGGCGGAGGAGCCTCCTGTCTACTTATTACGCTTCACGCGGTTACCGCCTGCGGAGTTGGAAAGATAGAAATGTTTTGGATATATTCATATGTTTTGTATTGCCATCTCGCCCGTCGTCAGGTTGCCTCGCCATAGCCACCATCTCAGGACTTCTGTGTGATGTGGTCGCGGTTCTGATACTAGGTCCCTACGTGTCACGGAGCTTGAACGTCCATGGTAGTTTCTAGGGATATTCAGCCTTGCCGGCTGCTATCTTTTTGAGGTCGCTGTGGCGAAACAGTCTAATCCAGAGCCGTCTTTAGGCTGGATCGTACATGTCGGGAACTGATACTATTGCCCCTCTATTCATCGAGGTCTGCCGACATACCTAAGAAGAATACTGCAGCCTCTGGTCTTACGGCACGATTACATTCTTTTTTTAAAGACGTAACAGCTGTTGAGATCCATGCCCATTCATTGGTACAGATTTCAGAGACAGTGATATAGACGTATCAGATGCAAGCTTGTCGTAGGCTTGTCTAAGACGGTTTCGCCGCGTGCTCGACGTCCATGTCGCCAGTTATTTGATGTAGTAACCAGTCTTAAACTACTAAGGTCTTTTGAAATACGCATTGAAATGGTACATACGACCACAGGCAGTAGAATAACACCGCGTCCCGTTTGCTCCGCTGAAGTTAAGCTATTGACCGGCAGATTAGTAGTTGGGTCGGTGACGACCAGCGAACACCGGCTGTTGTATGTTTTTATCTTTTGTCGGCTGTGATAAAGCTTGGAGTGAGCTTGTGCTTTTGAGCAATCAAGGCTCTCAACCAACTGTCGGTACTGTTGGTTGCATTAGGGCCGTGGTGGATAGCCTCCGAAGCTAGACATAAAAACTTGGACAAGCATATTGCATAAGGAAAAAGCTTTTGCTATGCATTGGAATTATTCTTTTAAATGATGGCTGGATGGCTGGCCGGCTACTACCCAAGTACTTTTCTACAGAAGTAGCTTATCTGGCAGTTGAAGAAAAGCGCGCCAAGTAAACAACACAAACGTGCGTAACAGTCACGTCAACCACCGCGAATAGGTTTCTCTAAAGGGCTATCTACTTGGACGAAGGAGCCCTAAACAGCTTGGCGACTATACCCTCGGACTTCGCGCCGCTCCGCCTGTACTCGTCCGTGGTGTACAGCGGGTTGCTCGCGTTGGCTTAGACGTCCATCTGCCCGTGGCAGATCTTCTATTAGCCCTCACGCGGGCGTCGATGGTGGGTGGTGGAGGCGAGGGGAGGCGGTGGTGGCGATGCTGCATGTATATTGCAGACAATATTGGATGACAACGGGCCCGGATTGAGCCTCCGGATCCGACGGAGAGGATCCTTGTTTATTTTAAGGCTGTTTTCGCCGGAAAGCGGCAGCTCCCGAACAATGTGGACGCACGGGTAAGTCGTACATAGGTAGCCATCGCCTCTTGGTAATCGAGCATTAATTTCTTCTCGGTATCGACGTTTTACAGTACGGTGGGCTTTCGCGATCAAGCCCATGTTTTGCCCGCTTTGGTGAACAGAATCGCCTCAAAATTGGACGCAATCTTAGCCGCCATCATGCAAACATGGGGTTTTGATGTCTGCTGCGATGGGATCACGCTCACAAGAGAGCACATGGAGAGGAAGAGGCAGGAAGAGCTGCAGCGACAGCAGCTCGAGAAGCTGCTCAGCATGGAGAGGCCACCCATGGGGCCGGCGATGGACGGCGTGCTATGGAGCCGATGCCAGCCTTCTGAGATGTGCGATATGCCTGTTCTTAGCATCTTGAAGCTTGAGCTGAGGCAGGGGATGGACATCCAAGATGCTACGGGTGCGCTTTGCAAGCTTTGGGCCGCCGTGTTGCGATACATTCGCTCCATGCCCGGCTGTGTTTTCTTGCGGTGGGGAGTCACGCGACCCGACGGCAATACCATCTTTTGCTTCATTCAATGGAAGAGCAGCGCTGCATGGCACGAGTTTCAGAAATCGCCTGGGTTTCAACCCATGACTGCTTTTCTTGCCTCTAACGTCTGGAATCGACACGTCAAGCTGGGCGCGCCTGCCATTGCTGCTGCTACCCAGTGGACACGGGTGGTCACGATCTCGTTTGACGCCTTTGTGGATGGCGACGAGAAGAAAGAATTTCACCAGGAATTCTGCTCGCGCTTCGATTCCACGAGCCTCTGCTCTGGCTGGCTAGAGCACAACGCCGTCGTCTTCGCCGAGCATACGGAAGCGCAGGCCGCTACGGCGCGAACCCCGACCATTTTCTTCAGTCTTTTGGATAAGAACGGAAGCAGCCCTGAGCATTTTAGAGATGATGTGGATTTTGCAACAATATCGGGGATCGAACGAGAGACTCACTCGCACTTGATTCGTTTTACCGAGGACGCGGCGACAGCTGGGCCGGTGGTGCCGCTGCACAACTCGCCTGGCGACACAATTGCATGGATTTGCGACACAGATTTGCTTCAACATACTGCAGCGGCAATAGCGCTTCCATCTTCCGAAAATACACAGAATACAAGGTTTCCAGGCCCGCGAGCAAGTGAGTGCAGTCAAGGGGACCTGAACGAGGATGGGGAGCTTCCGGAGCTACCCGCTCTCAGCCCTCCTCCACACAACAGTCTGCTGAAAGTTGCCTGGATACGCTTGCACGAGATCTCATCTGCGGAGGCTGTTCATGAAGCGTTGCATCATCCGCTGTCAAAGTTAAAGGGGTACCAGATGGGGACGTGGGCGCTGGACCATGAGCGGGACTTGGTCGTGGCCATCATCACCAGTAAGAGACGCAAGGAGGCAGACGCACAATTTCTTTTGCTCCGACTAATAATCCTTGTGTTGAAATTTAGTGTGGCGTTTTGACGAGGACGAGGCATCCAGAGAGCGCTACCATGCCACGCTCAAGTCGTTGGTTCGAGCATCGCCGCAAGTCGACCAAACGTGGGTGCTTGAACATCGTTCGATGCCTGCCTCCGTTTGGATGCACGAGTATACATGCATGGAAATCAACACCTTCCATGTGCCGAATGACCCCGGATACCAAGGTCTCTTTACAAGCGCAGTATCGCGGTGGAAAAGGTAATCCAAACTGTGCGTGTCCTCATGAAGAAAACTCACGTTTAACAATTTGCTTTTTTTCCAGTTCCATGGTAGCAAACCGGCAACGCAGCCAGCACAACGCAGGGGCTTGTGACGAGGAGGCTGTCGGGGGCTGGGATCCCGCCGTGGACGAGAACGAGATGCTCCGGTACACGTGCGTCGTGCGATGGGAAAGCCCGACTGCTCGGAGGGAGTGGTATGCGAGGCTGTACGATGCGCCGTACGCGTCCTTTGGTCTGAACCTGGACGCGCTGAAGATTGGCGCGTCTGGTGGCATACAAACTCAGCTGCTGCAGTTCCAGAGCAATTATCAAATGTACGTGGAGTATATCAGACCAGTATGCCCATAAGGTTTGAGTACCGAATTTTGCTGGCGATGTACTATTGTTAGAAAAGATTAGGTGGATGGTTAAAAATGACAGCAATTGACGGAGGCGAAGATCTGGTACTTTAGCTAACCAGTCGTAGGTATTGATGTAAATAGCTGTTCTCATCATCACTAGCCAAACTATCGTGCTCAAAAAAGGAAAAAAAGGAAAAAAAAAAGACGGAAACGAGACCCGTTCCTGTCGTAAAAAGGAAGAGCGTATCTGTACGCTGTTGGTTGATTGAAATACACTGCAGGGTGACATACCAGGGCTGAGGACAGCGGCGCGGGTGTTTTCCTCGGAGAGTTGATGAATGCACTGCCACTGGTAGGCCGAGGGGATACTTTTCGTCTTATCATTTAGTCTTTTTATCATCAGCACAGGATATTTGTCGCAGAAACGATACTAGCAATGGTCGAGTTCTTGTGATTGCTTGACGATCACCCAGAACAAGGCCAGTACGAATACGGCAACAACCAGCTCCGGAGCAAGTGCTCCGCAGGACAAAAGGACATGTGCCGTGGCTGTAGAACCTCACTCAACAATCGTGCCACTTACACAGTGTAGCTTCAGTTTCAAAGCCGAAAAAAATGCTGTTGAATTACCATTTAAATTTCCAATTTATCCAGAACATGGTCTGGCAGAATGCCATTCCGACCTTTCTCGCTTCGCCGTTTCCTAGAACCACCACGTTGGTAACTAGTGGCACGCTGGCAGGCGCCGATTGCAACTACCATCTCGATCGTGCTTTTGTGGGTTATTATCAACAGCGAAGTAAGTATTGAACGGGGACAGATTCTAGAACACCTCTAGGCTGCTGCCCCGCAACCGTTACTGGATGGCCAGCTCAATCTCACTTTTTACTCTTCTTCCTCATACATAGTTCGCACTCGCTCTAGGGTCATTCCATCAGCGCCCGTTCGCCCGTACCTGCTGCGACTCACACGACTGCGCGGCTCGCGTCTCGCTGCGCGCCGCCCCGAATGCAGTTCTTCTTCCCCAGGGCAGACGCCAGTCTCTTGACGCCATCGCCAGACGCCATAGCCGACGTTCCTCCCCCGCGGCCCACGACCGTCGGCCCGGTCTTCGATGCCGAGAATGTGGGGCGCCCGGTCGAGCCGTGGGTGCCGGAGCTGGCGAAATGCATCTACCCGCCCAAGCTGGATCCGTACGCGGTGTCGTCGGTGCCGGAAGAGACGGCGGTGCCCCTCGACTGCCGCTACCTACGGGCTCGTCTAGCCAAGAACGAGCGATTAAGGCTCTCCATGCTGTGGTACTATGGGCGGCACCTCGAGGAAGAGCCGGAGCTGCTCGCCGGCCTCCAGGAAAAGGCATGCCTCGCGCAGGAGTCGTCAGGGTGGGAGTTTGCCGTCATCGGATTGCTCGATGTCAACGTCTACGTTCGCCTGGTGACGGTCGGTGGTCTCGAGTTGGGCATCTTACCCCGCGGCGAGACCATCTGCGCGCACACTGTCACACAACCGCCTGGCGTACGTGCCCTGTCCCTACATGAAACGGTCTCGTGAAACCCCGCTAACATTAAGCAGAGCGTCTTCCTCCTTCCAAGTCTTCAAGAGGACTGGCGGTTCCGCGACTGCCCCTACGCCGAGAAAGGCGGGCTGGCAGCTTACGCTGGCATCCCCCTTCGAATGCAGCACGAGTCCGGCGAGTGCGTCGGACTGGGTTCGATCTGCGTCGCCTCGGCCACGAGCCAGCCTCCATTATCGCAGCAACAGCAGCAGACGCTCACGCGGCTCGCCGACTGGGTCGTGGCGGACATTGTGCAGTGCACACGCACGCAGCGCCAACGGGAGCGCCGTCGCCTTGCCGAACTCGTTGAAAGTGTCGAGAATGGAAGCGGTTTCCAGGATTCTCACGCAGCGGTGCTAGGGATTCTCCAAGATGCCTATCCAGGAGAGGTCATCCGTATACAGCCATCCGACGCAGATCGCTGCGACGTCAACTGGCCGGAGGTCCTGCCACCAGGTCTCAAGAACGGTCTGTGGGAAGACACCGCCTACATTGACGAGATCATCGCCACGTCGAACCAAAACGAGACTCCCACAGACAGGGTAGTGCGTCTCATGTCCTCGCAATGCGACACGGAGCTGGGCCATTCACTGCTCGTTGTTGGCACCAAAGATTTCCGACGCATTTTTGACGATGTCGACGCTTGGTTCATACAGACTTGCGCAAATCTAGCAACTCGAGTATGGCAAAAGCGCCTCCTAACCGAAGCCATCAAAGCGAAAGAAAATTTTCTTCGAGGTGTATCGCACCAATTAAGAACCCCGATTCATGGGATTCTCGGTGCCGCCGAGCTGTTGTCCGAGGAATTAAGGGCCATTTCGTTATCTGAGATGTCGAGGTCAGCATTAATAGATGCGGAGAGTGCCCCCATTGCGGGAAAAACGTCACTTTATCTCGACACAATCTCCGGAGCTGGCCGAGAACTCATGTCGACCGTTAACAGCATGATCACATTGAATAGATGGGCTGACATTGCACTGGCGGAAAGACGGTACGCCATGCACGACGTTGGCGATTTGGAAGGGGCGCTATTGAAGCAGGTGTTGGAAGCGTCCGTCAGCCAAACAGGAATGAATGCCTCCGTATTCTGCCACTGTGAGGTCCCAACCGGTAAGCTCCTGACGGACATGAACCTGTTGCGAGATTCCATCTGGCCTCTGGTCCATAATGCAATCCAAAACACACCCGAGGGAGTTGTCACAATCAAATTCTCGATGCGGCCGGGCACAGAGACATTCATGGTCGATGTGGAGGATACAGGGCGTGGCATTCCCCCGCAGGACCAAGAGCGCGTCTTTCAGCTCTATGAAAAGGTCGATGAGCATTCGACAGGCGCCGGACTGGGATTGACAATTGCCGTCAAGTTTGCTGCGCTGCTGCATGGCTCGGTCGAGCTCGTCTCGTCGCGGGTCGGCCACGGTACGCACTTCCGAGCGACATTCGACGACATGATTCATGCAGTCTCTGCCAACCCTCCGGTCGCAGCACCAGCAGCTTCATTCAAGCATTTACCGCCAAATTACGACAATCTGGACAAGAACTCGTCTTGCCGTACTCTGTCTTCAAATTTTGCCGAGTTTCTAACCCGCATGGGCTTCGCGTCGGATCGCTCTGCGGATTGTTTCACGATATTCGAGTACAGCAGCGACATAGAGAAACTTCGTGCCAGGACGGCAGTGCTCCTAGAGCAGGTTGCGATCTGTTTAGTGCCACAGTCGGTCGACGCCGGGTCCCTTGAAAGCCTGCCCAGAGTCGTTTACGCGACACCGCCATTTTCGAGCTTGCGGCTTGTCAGTGCGCTTCAGATGGCCGATGAGATGAGCGCGATGTTGCGCTCGTCAAAAGCCGTCGAAACTGATCCTGTCAATGAGAAGAAAGGTCTTGGCGGTCTTGCTTCACCGTCCACTATAGATGAAGGCTACAACTCCATGGATGGGTCATCGCCACTACCTCGGAGTGACCAGTCCAGCCAGGTCGAGCTTGGCAGAGAAACGTCGAATTCGTTCTTTTCGCCCACCTGCGAGTCCTCAGCCGGGTCAGCGTCTCAAAGCGCACCGCCTCGGCCACCGACGAGATCGGCCGCGCCGATGGTGCTGGTGGTGGACGACAACCTGGTCAACCTGGGCATCCTGCAAATGTACTGCAAGAAGCGCGGACTGCCTTTCCTCAGCGCGACCGACGGCAAGCAAGCCGTCGACGTCTTCTCAAAGCACAAAGCTTCGCCTGCAGCGAGCGACGCGCCTATCGAGCTGGTTCTCATGGATCTGCAGATGCCCGTCTGCGACGGCCTAGACGCCACAGCGCAGATACGCGCTCTGGAGCAGGACAATGCCTGGGCCGCGAGCGTCGTCCTCATGATCACGGGCCAGGACAGCCAGGCGGACCGGCAGGCGGCGAGCGCGGTTGGGGCGGATGATTACATGGTCAAGCCTATTGGCATTGCGCGGCTGGACGCTAAATTGAAACGGTATTTTCCTCTATTCAAGACTCAGTCTGCGAGGTAATGTTTTCAGCTGGCCAAAAAAAATGAAATTTAATGTTTGAAGATCTGGTTGTTCATGGCGTTGAATATTTGCGACAGTAGGCGTTGGATTGGTAGTCAAGATTTTCGAGAAAAGACTTGTGAAAACGATAATGCTTTGACAGGTGATCTGTATGTTAGCTTGTTAACAGTATGTTGTGATATATACCAATGGGCTCTTTTTCCCACAGGCTGGCTGGAACAGCCTACGATCTTTCGCGGTCCAGCTTTCTCCGACAACACCGACGGCCTGGACAACTGCGACAGGCCATTGCCTCAATGGTCAACCAGACGGGAACCGAAAGGTTGAAAATATGCGCCCAGTAGGCGCGTCAAATAGTCAGCAGGTTGCCACCTCTCATCATCCGATCGACGCTGTTCTGCACGGTCTGGAAGCGGGTGATGCCGCACGACTCGCTCTCCAGGTGGTTGAGGATGGCAGCCAGTGTCTTGAATTCACGACAATTGCGATTCGGGCAGCGATAGAGCTTCTCCTCGTCTACCCCCCACCCCTTGGCGTCAGTGATGTTCCCTCTCGTCCTATTCATGCAAGGGTCGAGAAACTCACGAGCTCCCGAGTTCAGGTGCTGGTTCAGCCCGTGCAGGCAGCCAAACTCGCGGGTGCGGAGGTAGAACTCGAACGCGTAGCCGTTCCAGGCGCGCTCCGTCGCCTCGTGCCGGTGCGAGACCTCACAGTCCAGCAGCTTCTTGGCGATGAGCCCCTGCGGGTCCTTGCTGCGCACGAAGCGGTACGTGGAGTCGCGATCGGTGTGGACTCGCGGGCACGCGTTGGTCTCGAGGAGGTGCTCGAGGCCGGTGGTGGTGGTGAAGTCCCCGCCGGCAGTAGGGTAGGGGGTAGGACACGCTGGCACCTCTGTGGCGGTTCGAGTTGAGATGCTGGCGGTGGCGGGCGAGCGTTCTGCACGCGGATCGCATCTCAGATGGACATGGCCGTCCCCCTTCCCGCGACGGTTTGGGGCGGGCTACTAGCCGGGGCAAACTCACCATGCGCAGATTGTTGTAGCTTTGGACTTGGTATCATGTGCTGGTGCATGGCGTGCTCCGTGTTAAACACTCGCCTGCAGGCCGGGCACTCGTAATCGGAATAATACATTGCGGCTGGATGAGTTGTCGTATGACACTTTTTCTTTGTCTCCTTTGTCTTTTGCTCCAAGGTGATTCGAAGTCAATAATGTGAGATGAAAGATAATTAAGGGCAGTTTCGCCGTTTGTCTCGAGCATGACAAGTACGGGCATGAATCACGTGATAGAGTGCAACGGAAAGTGATGAGCCTGACGTCAATCAGTAGAATCAATTCAAATGGTCTTAGGTAGTATAAGTGAGGAATTGTTCATATTTTCGTAAATGCGCATAATAATACTCCTGGTGCGCTGTGAATCGACCCTCATGCTCAGTAACGCAGGTTTCACTGCTTTGTGGTGAAGCCGCTATGTTTGTTTCAACAAAGACGGCGCCCAATGCTTGAAAGTTTTGTATTTTGTACTAATATAGGCCTGGCTAATTTGTACACATAAGACAATAAATAGCCTTACTGTTTCTTGTCGCGGTTTCTGTATAGCGGTCAGCGTGCCGTGTTGGTTCATTGTTGATACCCTGGAGGCAACAGTCAATCTCACAGCCAACCGGTGGCCTCGACTCGTGGGATGATAAATTCTGGATTAAAGGCGACTGGCAGCTGAAACGGTATTTCGTGGCTTGTAAGGCGGATTTGGGACTTGGAGGTGGCGGGGAAGTTGATTTGCGATGGTTGAGCTGTTGTTGAGGCTAACCAACAGGCCATTTGTACCTGGCCGATGTCATGTACCAACCTGAGTGGCTGCACGGTGACGAATTAATACAGAAAACGGAGATAAAAGCCACGCGTACACCCGCAGCTTGTACTTTATTTATCACAGTTACTCAGGGCGCTAGGGTGCCTTTTATTAGCACCTGGCCTCGCACTGTTGCTGGATGTGCCACGAGTGTGTATCACTGAGCGTTGATGAGTCTGCGTCGGCGAATGGCAGCATGTAAAGCCGACTTTCTAGGCGTTGTATAGCTTATGTAACGTCTAGAGTGCACTACCATGGGAGGCCGCCAGTCGTGTTGCCAGCTGTTACGTTGTGGTACGTGGCCAAGGAGAGAAGATGCTTGTACAAGTAAGAAGATCCGTCTCTCACGCCTCTTCTCCTGCTCAAACACCTGCGCATGTGTACTTGGTACTTATTTATTCAAGTGTAAAAGCAATCCAACACAGCCTCGTCTCCCTTCCTCACCCATCCATCACCTCCTCGCCTCTCTTCCTCACTCACCCATCAACCCACGATCAAAATCACCTGCAATGCCTACTTCTCGATATGGCAGAACTTGCAGTAGTCAAGTTGCAGGGAAGGGCCGCCCTCCTCGCTTTTGTTTGTCTGGCTTCGATTCTTGTGCTTCTTTATCGTCATTCTGCTGAACGCTGTCTTTCTCGGCATACTCAACACAAATGAACTTCCTATCCTATCCACACAAACCTGATCGTCACTGAAGTCTTGGTAGCTGTTGCTTTTCTCTACTACATTTTCGCTTTGTTCCTCAACTTATTTCTTGTCACTACGAAGGGTAGAGCCATCACCATGGTCGGCCTCCTTGCGCAATGTTTTCCTTTGGCAGTCAGTCTTTACATTCTTGTGGCTTATAAGAGTGGCCTTGGAAGTTGCAGCAGCTACGAACAAACACCATTCAAAAAAGTCACCGGCACTGAGGACTTGCCCACCGTGAATAATTCCTGCGGAATGCAGGCGGGCATCGCTGTCTTCGTGGCCTTCGCAACGTGAGTTCATCAGTACCCCCATGCTTCCCTGACTAATATCTTCTACGCAGGGCTATCTCTAGCCTAACCTTCCTCTTATTTTTGTTTCTCCTCTGCGAAGATTGCCTCATCAAAGGACGACAAAATCAGGACTTTACTCTCAGATCATTATCCTCTTCTTAAACTGCACTCAGGTGGCAGGCTAAACACGGCACACGGTATGGAGATTATGGATACATAGATAGTCGATTGCATAATATTACTTTATTTCTATATCTTCTTTCATTTTTGACTAGACTGAGGAGTACAACCACAAACATGAGTTTGCGTCTTCTCACGACTTACGACTTTCAGAGCCACGTAGATGTAGCACGCGGCTTCAGACACCTTTCTGTCACTGCGTACGGGGAGGATCATTGAATATCCTCCACGGCTATACTGGGGGAGTAACTGGAGTGAAGGGTGGTCATACAGCGTCCAACAGTGGTGGCATAATGCAATGTTTTGGCTGTTGGACGAATATGGCTTTTGGCAACGACTGCGTGGTCAGCCTGTTTAGGAGTGACGAAACAGTGACGGCCTTTATCCACTGTGGAAGCTTGTACCCGCTTATGTGCTATGGAGCAGATCGGCCTTGGAGTGGGAGTGCTGGGGCGGAGGGATCGAGGGGTTCTGGCTGTTCTCGGCTTGAGCGGTGCGGGGCGCGCGTTGGGTTGCGTGGTGTTGAGCCAGCGAGGATGGAACTGTGTGAGAGGATTTGTCTGTGATGTGATAAAGCGTATGCAAGGAGTTAATGGATGGATGGGCTGAGGAGAGAGGAGGAGCGGACGAGACCGTGGGTGTGGCTGAGGCCGTGGCGCAGAGCATTTTGGCGGGCCGTCGAGGATGGCAGCTGGCGGAAGCTGAGGCTGGTGAGGTGATTACTGGTATGTATAGAAGTCAAGGCTCATCACTGAAAATAATCAAAAAGGCAGGATAAAGAGACTTTATTTACGGATAGAATTTTGTTTTTGTTTTAATCATTGACAGACTTGGTCAATGTCAATGCCAAAAGGCGCGACAAGCTGAGGTTGCCTTGCCAGCTGCCAGGCGTCTGCGCACCCCCTAAACCCCTCAAACACCGCTAACAGCACCCCCCAACAAACAGAGGCGCTCGTGTTCTGCGCCGCACTAGCAAATACTCCGCAAACAACCCATAGTAACCTGTTAGATCACCCACTTCAGCACGCCCCCAGCTTTTCGCTGCCGGGCTTTGCTTTGGCCTGCTCAGTCCGTCCAAAGGCTGGGTCGCTCGCTCGCCCACCCTCCCTCTCATCCGCCGTCCCTCTCTTCTCTGCTCTTTCTTTTCCCTCTTCTTCTTCTCCCACACATCACCTCTTTTCCCTTCACTATCGTTGCATCTGATAGCTCTGCTGCTATCTGCTGCGTGGTGGTTGTCCGAATTCCATCACACACGTTTCGTTGCTCGCTGCGCTCCTTCGTTTTATTCTCTCACCCGCTTACACCAACCCACCAAGCACTATGTCTACCCGCAAGAGAAAGCAAGAGGACGAGGAGGATGAGCTCGTGTCTCTCCCCGAAGAGTCTGACGGCGAAGAGGAACCCGAGTATGTTTTTTCTTTTGCTAATTTTGGTCTTGCATTGTCGCAATGGCTGCGCTGCGCGGCTGGCTCGTCAGCAGCCAAAGTTGTTTGCGCCTGCCACCCATCGCATCGCGCAAGCCAGCCAATTCATCACCAAACTCGGCATTCATCATTAAATTACACTTGACTTTATGCTGACGCAATTAGATACATTTCCTCCGAGGATGGTGACGACTACGAAGATGAAGAAGAGGAGGGCGAAGATGCCGAGGCTGAAGGCGAGGATGCCGAGGACGACGACGCCAACGGCCAGGATGGTAAGTCATCTCCACAGATTGCGCGCAACTTCCAAACGCATTGGTGACACTTTGCGACCTCGGCGCATACCAACGCACCTGGCAAAACACCCACTAACACGCGCCCAGACGATGCGCCGCCTGTAAAGAAGCGCAAGACGGCCCCTACCGCCGACGAAGAGGAGGAGGAGGAGGAGCAGGAAGAGGAAGAAGCCGAGGCTGAGGACGACGCCGAGGACGACGGTGACGCAGACGAGGACGCCGAAGTCACCAAGGCCACCAACGGCGATGCCCACAAGACCGTCAAGGACGTCGACGCGCCCGCCGCCGCCGAGGCTGAGACGGAAGCCGTCGCGGCCGGTGGCGATGAGGAGGAGTAAAGAGATGGAATCTAGCTCGGATAATTTAAAATACAGTTGGATGTACTCGCTTGCCTTCTATACCAGTCTAATCTGCAATAACTTTTGTGTCTCGTGCTCTCTTACAAGTCAACCTCCTCCCCGCCTATATAACCAACAGCTTCCAGATGTACCCAAACTCCTCCAGCCCCAGCGTCCGCGCAACGGCCTGCGACGCGGCATTCTCCCTCGCCGTGCTGTAGAAGAGTGTCCTCGTCTGCGGCGGGTGCGCCGTCGCCCACGCCGCCACGGTGCGCGCCGCCAGCCCCCGGCCCCTCCAGTCCTCGCGCGTCCAGATGCCGGCCTCGGCCACCTCGTCGTTGCGCGCCGGCGTGTGGCACACGCACACGATCTCTCCCACGGCCCCCCCCTCCTCGTAGACAGCCACGGCCCACGTCGGCGCACCCGGCGCCGTCATCGCCTCCGCCCACCCTGCCTCCTCCCAGGTGCTCGGCCGCGACAAGCCCGCCACCAGCGCCCTGTCCCCCTCCCGCGCCGAGGTGACGACGCGCACGCCCGCCGGCAAGCCCTCACCCCCCGCCCACGAAAAAGCGCGGCGCATAGCGTCCGGCACGATCCACGTCGGCCCGCCGGCGATTGCGTGGCTCGGCAGGCCCAGCGCGTCCTGCAGGTGCACCAGCACCGCGGGCGGCGCGGCGCCGTCGGCGCGCAGCCGGAAGAGCCGCGGGAGATCGGCGAGCGCCGCGGCGGCGCGCGCGACGACGGTCTCCGGGGAGGCGGCGCAGCGGGAGGCGAGGGATGGGCTCAGCGCAGTGACGACGCCGCCGGCGTGGCGGACGGAGCAGATGAGCAGCGCGTGCAGGGCGGGGTCGCGGAGGACGTGCGAGGAGGAGGTGGGTGTGGGCTCGAGGCCGAAGATGGCGTCGGCTTCGAGGGTCAGGAGTCGGACGTGGTTGTCGTTTGCCATGGGGAACGGGAATGTAGATGGGCAAGAAGATGAGGAGGGGGGGGG